GCTTCAGACTCCCGAAGGAGGCTGGACGCTGGCTTTAAGTAGCCAACAGTTAAGACCACGAGTGCAGGAATTTGTAGATGGTCTTATGTCCTGATCACCTCCTTGCAGCCTCAGAAAGAGGGAGGAAGCCTGTTGGGGAGGAGGCAAGGTGTTGTGTTTGCTACAACACTCCGAAACAGAAGTTAGGAGCCCAATTCTCTCTCCTGTTCTACAAATGCAAATGAGTGGAAGAAATGAATTAGATTGTTATCTGTGATGAGTCATAATTATTTACGTTCGGGATTTAAATCAAGCTGATAAGTCAGGAGGTAATAAGCAAGCTAAATAGACTCGGGGATCTGAAAAAGATAAATATTCCATTTCACATTATTTTATCTATAGATGAAAAGAGTAAAAATTGCAGCAGCAAAACGTTTCTGCAAATTTCTTATATTAAATTCTGCTTCCAAACTTATTCACATACAATTTACCAAATGTTGTTGAAAAAACAGAACAGCGTTTCTGTAGCTCTTTCCTTTCCAATATTTTATTTACTAATTCAAGAAGTGCAAAAGCCTAGGAGACCCACTTGCTTCTGCCCACAAGCTCTGTCTGCTGGCAATATCTTTAGGCACAGCAGGGGTTTAATAGTCTTTCTTTTCCAAAATGACTTACAAGTAGCTTTCATAAGGAATGAAAATGTTAGCAATATATTTGGATTGCCCTACTGGCTCAGATCACACTGAAATAAAAGCAGTTTTGTAAGGGTCAGTATTTCTAAGGCTGAAAACTACTGACTTTCTGTCTAGAACAGATGCTTGAATAGCTACGGCTTCACTGGCACCAATCCCCAGAGAAATAAGCTGAGAACAGACCCAGGTCGTGGTGAATTCTTTTCAGAGATGCAGACTGTGCTGGAACAGGGTGTCCCTCAGAAGACTCGACAAAAAGGCCAAATTGGAGCATATTTGTCTCAAAATTTCATAATGCAAAACACTAGGAAATTTCTTTAATCACAGCAGAAATCCCAGAAACTTAGAATTTTCCTGTGAAATAGAGACATAATATATCATGACAGGCAATGAAAACAAGAGAAACATAAAAATTACCTTTGAAGGCCACCCACTACGGCAAACTAGAGTATGCTCTGAGACCCGAATATAAAAAAAAATAAAAAAAAATAAAAAATAAGAGGCATGGTGCAAAAAGAAAAAAAGGCTACTAAAAAACAAAGTAATACAAAGACTGGGGCGGGAAGAGTAAGACTGTGAGCCATGAGATTTCAGACATTCTCTAGGTATTTGCATTAGGCAAGCAAGCACAATTTTTCTCCTCCTAGGTCATCAATAAGGGATAATTCACGTCCATTTCAAATATGCTTTAATCTAATACCTCTTCTGATAATAGCCTTTGATGATTTTGCTTCTAAGTGACAAAATATTGTCTACATCTTGTTGAGCGGTACCAGTAACTAAGATCTTTTACTATGTGTAATGTAGGTATGTCAGGCCATATTTCAATCTTAGGTAATTTTCCCAAGGACACCCACCTACTTGTGTACTGCTTTATCTCCATGACATTCACAAAGCACTTTGAAGCACTACGTTCTCTTGATAGCTCTGGGTTTTGTTATAAAGAGGCTGTTTGATCTCTTATTTGAGAATCAAATCTAGCAATGCAGAAGATAAAATAGATTTCACAGATATATTACAGTACATATATAAATATTTGGACAGTGCCAGATTTATGGCCCCGGACTTTTAGATGTAAAATGAACAAAGACCGAAAAAAAAAAAATTAAAATATTCCTGAGGAAAGCAGCTAGTTCTTACTAGCTGTTTTCAGCAAGATTAGGCAGCTTTATTTAGATTAAATAAACATAACAGGTTTATTTTTATGCCAGTTATGGCCCTTCTCTCATGAGTGGCAGACATAAATGATGTCAGCGTGTATGACTAACCGGCAAAAACAAGGTAGATATATTTGTATAGACTAAATAATATCCTATTAATACAACACCATTTTCTTTAGTTTACATTTTCTTTGGACCTGGTCCATTCACAGCTTTCTCCAATTCGCAGCTCCTTCCTCCAAAGGAGCAATTTCCTTGTATCGCAAGCTTTGATCTATTGTCACTTACGCAGTTTTGATCAACTGCTTACAGATAGACACATCTACTTAGCTGCTGCTGTGCTGTAACAATAAGAAAGGATCCTAAAAAATTCATTTGGTAATTACAAAGCGTAGGCAGAGGACCCCTTGTACTTTCACTTTTGGCTAGAGTCTACTGGGCTCACACTAAAAGAACATAAATCTTCCTAATTTGTTTTGTTGTCACATCAGCTAAGTGTCTCTAAACCACTGCTGTCTCCAAAGTGACCGCCTGAGGGACAGGAAAGTTAAGTAATTTGTTCATGATCAGACAGTAGTATTGGGAACAGAATCCATCTCTTCCAGTCATATTTTCCTCTGCAGTTTCATATTTCCTCCTCCATCCAGTTATTCAGAATCATTCAACTGAACTAGTATGTAGGTAGGTAGACAGGATGGATGGATGGATGGATGGATGGATGGATGGATGGATGGATGGATGGATGGATGGATGGATCTAAGACTCTATTTAATGAAAGCTCTTTCATGAAGAGTTTAGGAACTCATCTCTGTGTTCCATCTTACTCTAGAGAGTTTAAAAATAAATAAATAAAAATCTTCATAAAAACAATCCCCGACCAATCCCTTTCTGTAATATGCTATTTTGTGATGAATGTCTTGCTACATCTTTACTGTGATTATTCGCTTGTGATATCAAGAGAAGAGATCCTCGCAGGGTCAAACTGAACACAGGCTATAATCCCATTGTGAATTCCAGTGTAAGTTTAGATCTTCCAGAAGAATTCAAGAATCTCTTTTATACACAACGGTGGCAACGATGAATGAGGCTAAGACAGAGGCTTTTTTTCATTTTGTAAATGTGAGGATAAGATGTTTCCAAAGTGAGGAAAAAATGAAGTCCATGGGGGATTCAATGATGGTTCACTTCTTCCAAACACCGCATACAGTGAGTCCCTAACCCATAAAAACAGGCATGTGTAGCCCCAGTTCTTCTGCTTCAGCTTTTTGACATTCATTTGTTAGTGTGCCCTGAACAAATCATTCATCTCAAGTTCTAATCACACTGGTTTAAGTGCATTTTAATTCTCCTAATCAATTTAATTCTAATTCTTAATTCCTAATTAATTTAATTCTCTCTAATCAATTCTCCTTCCAGTTACCATCAAAGTTGCTAAGAACCTGAACCAATTATTTTGTCTCCTGAACTATTTGGTTTTTGATATCTTACACTCCATTGAAATGTAAATCCATTTTTCTTTAGACATTTTGAAATAAGATAGCATCAAATTCTATTCAGATATGCAGGCTAATAATAATTTCCCTAAAAACTTCAGCATCCCAAGCAATCTGTCATATCATTTCCTTATTTTTTCAAGGGAAGCATTTTCTGCCTGTATCTTTCTTCAGAACCTGGTGGACAAGATAACATTTACACTGATCTTATATCCTCTAAATAAAGATGTTGCTTCATCTTCAAATCTAACAGCTCAGTTGAACACAATTGTCTAGGGATACAACGTCCCCCACAGGTTTCACACTTTAACCCAAAGACCAGTATTCTTCTGAAAAAAACACAAAAAGGTAACATTTGCTTTTGACCTGCTTTACATTGCATGATAACTGCCTTAAAGTGTAACTTTACCTTTCTCTATGTCATACCCATTCTTTTGAAACTTGAAGGCTTTTGTGAAGTGGTATTATTCATTACTTGCAGTTTTACTGAATGCTTGATTCTCAAACCACGTTGACTTCTGTTCTTTTCAATGATTTTTATTTTAGTTGGTATTTGTCATTCCCCCAAAATTCTATAACCTGAGAACCTTGCTTGCCTGCTATTAATTTTACTCTAGTCCAAGTTAAATCTCAATTAGTCTAACTTCCATTACTTGGTATGGCTAATTTATTTTATTTTTTTTCTCAAGTGGTCATATTGACTTTTCCCAAAGTTCTTGAGCACTATTTTCTTTAGATGATAAACACTGTTTACTATCTGATCAGTGCTCCATTGACCAGAATTACCAGTCCTAAAGCAAACGCTGCCTCTGCTAAGTTTTACCTCCCTCATTCATCCTGTGTTCAAAATGGATCTTGGATATGTTTCAACTTGTGCACAGCACTCCGCAGCTTCCTATATTACAGCTTCAGAAAGCTTGAGTTAAAAGCTATTAAAACACAAAAATGTTTCAGAATCAGCCCTGGTCAAAAGACATGGCTCCCAATTGTTCCTACCTATTGTTTGCAGGCTCAGAAAGAACTATTTGAACTTTTCCATTTTCAAGAGAGCTAATTTCAGTTTCAGGTAGGTTTTCATGTGTTTAACAGTTCTATTTAGCAGTACTGGATTTATTGCTTTTCATTCTTTTTCATTCTTTCCGTTCATTTTTCACTCTTTATACACTACACATGCACCACTATATTTTCTCCCAGAAATATTCATAGTACACTCCACTTACTCCCCATACTTGTGCTAAATTTCAGAAGAGGGCCGTCTTCTGTTTGACCAACAAATTGTTCTTGGGGTAAGAAACTGAGGCAGATTTGCCACCGCAACGCTTTCTTCCTGAGCCACTCAGATAGCTGACGTCTACAAGCTTTTTAAAACTCTGGAGTTGTCCTTTTATGGCTGCAGAAGCAAACTACATGTTCTGTGTAGAAGACAATGCTACTCTCAGTGCATGTATTTAAATTTTAATGCTATTTTGAAAACAAATAAAATTGGACCTGAATATGTTTTGATTACAAAATAGAATCAGGAGCGAAGTATCCTGTAATGGAACAAATATGTAAAAGACGTTCTACTGAACATGTGAAAGAGATTTTCTTTTTGCTAAAACAGGAAAAAAAGGAATCAAAATGAAATTTCCCTCTAGCTGGAGAAAATGATTATTCCGAATTAATTATGTACTCACCTTTCACCCTGTCTCCTTTGTGCAGATGAATCTCCCCTTCTCCTTGAGGTTGATATGGCTTTACGACAATAAAAAGTCTTCCAGGTACAGCACTGTAAAGTTTGCGTTTTGGACCCTGATAATCCAAGACAGAGAGCGTATCCTTGTTGGCACTAGGACTGTAACCAGCACTGGAAATTGAAATGAAGAAACATTAGTTTAGTTTGTTGGAAAAAATAGACAAAGTTGTTGCTTCATCATCACTTTGGTGATCACGTCAGTGACAGGATCTTTCACTATGACTGCAGAACATGTAACTGTTTTTCATTTTGCATATGCTCTTTCAATTGTTGAAAATCTTTCTGTATAAAATATGTTCGATATTCATTTGATAATAAAATAGAAAGACTGAAGTTTTTAGGTCTACAAGTTAAACCAGCACTTTCACAGACCCAAATGAATTTTAAGTTTATGTGTATGCACCATTATTAGAAGCATCACAATTTGGCAGAAAGACATTAAAGCTGCAGTATTTACAACTACTTTTGTGAGAGGATAACTTTGTAATATTGTAGTTTTAACTGAACAATCAAGTTAACTGAATTATTAATTTAATGGACTGAATAATCAAGTTAGTTCATTACTCTGAGACCTGGAGCTAGATTTTATGTTGGAAAGTGCACAAGGCACGGCTTTGAAGGTTAACATACTTCCAAAAAGTTCATCTTTTATTGATGACAATCAGTAGCTCTCCCAATGACTTGAGAGCAGTGTACCTGCATATGTTGTAGGTCACCAAACAGCACAGAATCTGCTTTGGGTGAACAGAGAATAAGTTACTGAAAACTGGTGAATAATTTATGAAACATGAATGAAATGTTAAAACCAGTGTGAAGAAAAGGCAAACAGATAAGATGGTGGAAAAAATATAGGAGATGATAATAAACATGAAATACACCACTATTTAGATATTAAGAAAAATGGAAAAACTTCAGGTTTTTCCTGAAAACTTCAGAACTTCTACAAACAAAATATTTCCAAGAAAGAAGAATGCACTTTAAGATTTTAGAAAAAAAATAAAGTACCAAAAAAAAAAAAAAAAGAAAAAAAAATACCAAAAAAAAAAAAAAAAAAAAAAAAAAAAAGTTGAATGATGGTTTAGTATTGCAACAGTCTACTGGTCTACTGACTGTCTAGGAAAGCAAACAAAGAATGCAAAACTGTTACAAACGAAAGAAATGCTGAAAGGTGGAGCTCAGTGTTTGCCTTTTTTTTAACCAACCTCCTGCCAAAATAGAAGTCAGTGAAGCTCTCAGATAAAGAGGAGGCTGTCTGGTAACAAATCCAAACAAAATGTATCTATCTTTCTTACTCTTTCTTATAAGGAACACTTCCATTTTGCTGCAGTAACTTCTCATCATTTGGAGCTGTGTCTGCCTTTCATCTTGTTCCACTCTTATTACCAGGAGCAAGTGTTAATATAGATATGCAGTCCTCAGAGTTTAATAGGAAGCAGCAACAGCAATTTTTCCATTCTTTCTGTCCATTCCTTTTTCCTTGTACGTGAAGAAGAAGCCATCACTGTGCATAAGCCAATGTACACTCTTACTACACATCCAATTTCCACCTGTATCAAGCTGCACTTGCTGCCTAATCTGTTAGCAACCAGGCAGCAGCAGTACATGATGTTACATCCCAGCATCTTATTTAACTCTCATCACAGCAGATTTAGTCATTTCCTCTCTTACTCAAAAAGGAGGAGGAATGGCACATTTAACTTCTCCACTGAACAGATCATTTCTCAGGAGACAGACTCACATGTTGAAATCAGCTGCAACATGGCATCAATACCTTCTTAAAAAACATCCTTCCTCTCCAGCACATACCCCACTGTGACGGAGGCAGGAGGAAGAGATGAGGATTTCAGGAGATATGGGACAAACTTTGTTTCTCTTATGCTGATAACAGAATAATAAATCCATTATCCCCCACCCAGAAAGGACAGAGGCAAGTCATTTGAACAAAAGCAAATAAGTATTTGCTTTTCGAAGAAGTTTCAGAACTCCATTAGCTGTTTATATTTTAAGTTGCACAGCGCATTATCCCAGGAAAGTTAACAAAAAGATACTTTTCATCACTTCGAGCTAAACAAGTCTTGGAAAAGAAGGAAAACTTTGGTAGTGCCAGCAAAATATGAGGGCATTCACTGTTTGAAAAGCATCGTGCAGACTGACCTCCTCAACTATGCGGAACCTCATTAAAGAGGACACAATTTTACACTGATATGGTTCTTTCTGAGGAAATGTGATCTTAAGTTACCGATTCTTCATGACTACTGTAACACATTCCAACGTAGTAGTAGTTTGCTAGTAGTAGTTCTACAGCGTAGAACCAACAGCATAAGAAATTCAGAGTCCAGTTTCTTGAAGAATTCTTACAGTCCAGACAACTTTTCTTTTTTTTCTTTTAAACAATTCAGTATGTTCCAAAATCCCGCATTATTTCTACTATATCAAATAATGACTGTCAGTTTGGGTACCTGCAGCTAAAGAGGGAAGAAGACCAAGAAAAATAACAGCAGAGAGCTTCATCTAACTGCAAAGTTCAAGTAAAGCCCTAGCACACCTACAAACGACCGAAGAGAAAACCCACAGCTCCGTTTCTTAACAACGGAACAAGTTGTTTCTCTTTTCTTTTCCTACAGCGAAAAACAGATGTTCTTTTGGTATAAGGAAACAGACAAAGCCTGGTATTTTAAATGATCAACAAATGAAATGCTTTTTATCAGGACACTTAAGTTTCAATTCCTTCCATCAGTATTCAACTCTGCTTCCCTCCTTTTCTGCAGCCCTACACTTCAACCTGCCTGCCTTATGATCCTGCTGCAGATGCACTGCTTGCATGCTCAACAGAAGTCGTTCCTAAGTCCTACTCGAAGCAAAGCTGTAATTATCTATTCACAGGACAGTGGTTTTATAAAGCTGGAGCCTCCATTTGCGATCAAAACACAGACACAATCAGCTGTTACCTACATCATATTACCTACAATACCTTCATCGCACTAATTAGTCAGGATTTGTTATCCAGTGAGAGATAGCTGCAGGATATTTGCAGAGTGCCTGCTAAAACCCACTTGTAATTCAAGAGGCAAAAAAAACAGCAGCAAACCTGTATGGAATGCAAAACCCTGCAAGGATGATGAGAGGAGGAGCCCATTGCATCCATCACCATCTCCTCCAGAAGCCACCTTTGCCCTCAGTCAGCCTCCTACCCCAGGCTACCCACCAGTTTGTCATTATTCCTCACTTTTCAGCTGCGGTTCAGAACTCATCTGAGCAGAAGGGAAATGCACCAGTCTCTACTTCACCCCTCATATGCAGCTCCAGCACAGATGGCTGCCCTGGCAGATGCAGCCACCAAATATCTTCGAATTGGATTACTTTTCTATTACACACAGCAGTTGTTTTAACTATTAAAGACTCTCAAGAACTAGTCCCCTCTACTTCAGAAGGGCACATGCAGTGATAAAGCGATAAAAACACTCAGCTTCAGACATATTCCAGTGTACTGAGATTTCATTACCTTTATATTAAATGGGGTGCCAAATGGGCACGTAGGCAGCACTAAGGAACACAGTATTTTCTTACCACGGGGACATTAGGAGTAAACATTCAAAGGGTCACCTGATGTGCCTGTGCTGCTGCCTCTTGGCATCTTCTCCCAGCCTGTTGAGGGATGGCGAGCGGCTCCGCGAGGACGGCGTGTAAGTCCCAACAGTTTTCACGGTGCCATTAGGATTATTCTGCATCTGTTGAAGCAGATGAGGCGAGAGGCTGCGGTGGGAAGAGGCGGAGGAGGAGGCCGACCACTCGGGGAGGTTGTTGATGTTGAGGTTGTTATCGCTGTTGGACCGGAGCAAGACGCGGGGGGCGGCCAAGGTGCTCGGCGCCCGCCGCCTCCGGTTTGAATAGGTAGGAGCCTCTCTGAAGGGCACTGCGGAAGGGAAAACATGCCGGGTGAGCACAGATGATTCTGCCATTTAGATGTCTTCATCGCTCCATAAAAAGAGTTAGCAACATATGGCATTACTTTTCCCACAGAGAGAAAGAGAAACTCTACCTTGCCTGCACACCCGGGCAATTTCTTTACCTTAAAAAACATCACTAAAACTGACAACAACAGTACAACACTAAACTTTTTCCTGGCTTTAATGAATACCTTGACAACATCGAAAGCATGGGCCAGCTCATCTAGTGTTTAGGAAAAGGGAAACATATATTTCCTGCTAAATGTGAGTTTCACGGCTTGACCTCGGCTAAGACTTCCTCGTTTTGGAGCAGAACATTATGGGACAGGGCAGAGGGGCAGCACGTGCGCTGCATGCTCCCAGCTCCAGCCCTGCTCCCAGCTCCAGCCCAGCTCCCAGCTCCAGCCCTGCTGGCACCCGAACAGACAGAAACTTCTTCCAGCGCAGCTCCAGGCCCAACGCGAAACCTCTAACGTTAACAGTCACCTTACTCACTTCTTCCAGGTTAAAAATTGAGGACATACATTCTCCTCCTGGCAGAACAGTATTACTCTGCCAGAATCCCTCGGTACTTCTCTCTTTCTAATCTAGGCACCTGTACCGCAGCGGCCGCTGTTGTATATAGAACATATTCCCTCAGGGCAGCGCGTTCGCTTCGGCCCGCGCTCTGTCCCGCAGGGAATGCAACGGCATCCGAAGGCTGTCATACACCCGCTAATCAAACAGACTCCACGGAAAACAAACGCAAGGGCAATAGAAATCTAACATCAACCAGGGGGCTCGTCCTTCCATCAGTGTTATTGGCACAGCGCTGCACTCGCTGGAGAGCCTGCATAAGCAGGCACTGCATTTCCCCAGTCTCCATTCCTCACTGTAGAAGGTCACTTAGTTCCAACAACTTAACAAGAACGTTTCCTAATACAAGGCAGCCGTCTCGCACCAGCTGTCACGACGCTGACGACTCATTTTTATAAGAGAAGAAAGGCTCCAACCCTGAAAACTCGTGTTTGCCTCAGTTCCTGCAAGCACTCCCCCTAATTTCAGGGGAGCTCAGGCCTTTCAGGCTTTAATCAAACCTGCACACAGAGACACTTGCAAAGTGACAGTATTTATCACTACCAGAGGCAACCAGGCATGTTTCTGAGGACTTTAGTGAGCTGTTGTAATTTTCTAAAGTTATATTTCACTAGGGAAATAAGCCCCACAAAACATCATCCTACCTATCTGACTCGCCATTAGCTGGCATTTATAAAGTGACATAAGTGTTTACACATTCAATATCAACAACAAAATCAAAATATGCCCATCATACTGTGCAAATTCATACAAATATAAATATACATAGAAGTTTTCTGTTCTGCCTTGAAATATCACCTTTGTTTGCTGAACACAGCAAAACTACAGATTACAGAGTGAAATTGGGGAAAAAAAGTGCAAAAATAAGGTGCAGCTGCAAGAAAAATAATGGTTTATAGCACTTTCATCAGAATCAGTTTCTGATTGATTGGGATCTTGAATGTCTTAAAATGACATGTTCATATTTCTGAAGAACTAAAACTTTGTCTGAAGGTGCCTTTTCTCTACTAAATAGCTCAAAAGCATCAGAATAATAAAAGAAGACAACGTGCATAGAAAAGAAGAGCTTTAAGTTCAAGTCCATAATTCATTTGAAATAAGGCTGAAATAAAGGAGTAGTCTTCAAAGCTGCTAAAAGGAATACAACTTTGGAGTACAACATTTATGTTAGAAACTGCCAGAAACTCTGTACAATTTTCAGGATAGTCCAATTTTTCACATTTCATATTCTTTTCAAGTTTCCAGAGAGGAAATATACCGTGAAAGTGCCAAATGTCATGGTAAAAGCCACAGTTGGCTCGAACTTAAAAAAAAAAAAAAAAAAAAAAAAAAAACCCTCATAGTGCCTATTTCCCAAATTAACCTAGCCAGCTCCTCCAGTTTACTGCACGGAACACAGATGTGCTGCTTTCCTCTGTTTCTGCCAGTGAGACCACAGCTCTGGAAATGACTCAGTCAAAGCAGGGACATCTCCCAGATGCACTAAAGCAGAGCAGTGACTGTAGTCACTAAACTAAGCCAGGGGACACACAAAACAGAGCTGTCGTCCCTGACTTGCTGTCTGAAAGGCCAGTCCTGCTCTCCGGAGTCACCGGAGCTTGCCTCAGACCTCAGTAAAAATGGGACCTGACCTTTCTGCTTTCTTCTTTCATGACCTTAAAATTGTGACCATTCAACACCAGACTCTCAAGACTTCAACCCAGATGCAGAAAATTAAGCCCTATCTGTATTTTGCGGCAAGTTCAGGGGGGTCGTGGGACCTCTTTGGGCAGGAGGGGCACATTGCCCAGATGTGCCCAGCTAGTGGACACAGAACTCCTGAGCACATCTATGCTGATACATTTGAGGGAACACGTTCATGCCTGTTCGTTCCTGATGCGAGCCAGTGCATCCACATGTGGGCATACACACACTCTCCCTGCACCAGCTTCAACTCACTCTTTTTCCATTACAGAGCTGAAAAGGTCTTTTAAAGATCTTTTAAGAGTTAGGTCTGGATTGTGATCAATATGCTACTTTAGGGAGAGAGCCACAAGCAAAATTAGCCTTCCCCATACAAAAATAAGTAATGAATGGGGACAGCTAATTGCATAAATTGAGGGGTGTCTAACACGAATCTCTTATGGAAAGAGTTAAAAATAAGCATTTCTATACCCTAATTGATTAATATTCCACCCAACTGTTTCTTTTCCCCAGCAATCTGCAAACTGTAAGTGGGTGGATTTTTTTTTTAGCTGCTTCTTCAGTATATTTATATTATTTTCATAATAAAAAACTACAACACAAAATGATGAAATGCAAACGTACATGCTTTAAACTCTGTTGGACATGGATTTTCCCTAATACTTCACTATGCTAAAAGCTGTAAGAAAGGTTGTTCTAAAACTTATTTGGGAAAAAAACAGATGATATAAAGGGACATGAAGAACATCTGAACTGATTTCAGGTATTTGTTTTTTTCTGTGAAGTTTAAAATTATATCCCCTACAATGCACACCTGGAAGCATCAGTTCCTCTTGCAGCTCTCAGAATTTCTATCCCTGTTATCTCCCCTGTCTGAAGGGAAATTGGGAAGCTTTCACTGACTAAATTCACCAACAACCCTTCCCCATGGGTCTTCACATGCATTTCCCAAGGAGCAAAATATTTTTAAAACTACCTGACCTTTCAGAGAAAGCCTAAAATGAATAAAATAAGTCACACCCAGCTTCCATAAACAGTTGCCTAACCGGACCATAAAACCACGTTGCGAAAGAAACTGCAGGACATGGCTAATCCCCCCAAAACCCTCGGATTAACTGAGAGCAATAAAACAGCAGCCGGCACTGCCAAAGTGGCCGGCTCGCCATCACTTACCTTCTTTCTTTGTGAAGGCATTTAACAAAGACTTCATTTTTCCCCCCTGTTACTTTAGCAGCGATCCCCTCATGGTACCATCTTTGCCGGGAAGGAAACGAGAAGGAAAAAAAAAAAGGGGGGG